ATTTCTTTAAATATGTCGATTCAGCTGTTGCACCTACTGGTCACAGTGCCCTGAGGTTTACGAAGTTAACATTACAGTGTAAATCAGTGGTGCAGATCTCAAGATAGATGAGATATAGGTGATTGTTAGACCCTCAAAATATATATTGGCTGATATGATAAGCTTTCACATATTGGTATTATCAACTGATACACTTCAAGATGAAAATTGCTTTAAAGGTCACATATCCTCCTCCTCTTCTTCAGTGTAAATAAGTCTCAGAGCTCCTCAAAACATGTGTGTGAAGTTTCTTGTTCTAAATCCACTCTGATCCTGTATTTGATCATGTCTATAAACCCCTCTATTTCAGCCCTGCTCAGAACAGGCTGTTTCTGTGTCTGTACCTTTAAATATGTAAATGAGCTGTGTCTGACCACGCCCCCTCTGTGGAAGGGCTTGGGTGTACTCGGTGCTTTCTCGCTCCATGTCCTATTGTTTACGGTGAGAAGGCAGACTCAGAGGCAGAACAAACACCTAGCTGTGGGAGTGTCACCCACTGGGGGAGGGGCTACTGCCCTTTGTGATGTCATGAAGGGAAAATCTCCAAACGGCCTGTTTGAGCACACATTTTCTGAAAAAGTGGAGCAGGCAGAAGATGGAGAGGATGGACTTTTCTCATCATTGGGGGTTTGTAGACGGAATAGAGACACATGGTGAAGTGATTTTAAGAATATGTGACCTTTAACAGATCAACTTCTGCAGAACACAATGCTCAGATGGATTTAGAAATGGTGTCCTCACATAGTTGTCCAGCAGAGGCTCTCTGACGCCATACTTTGCAATCCTCTCAGCATTTTCCTCATCCTGCAGCCCATATAGCAGAACGTCACAGCTGAACAAACTGATCCATGTTATTATTAGTTGGTAATAACTTCAATCACAATTACAGTTACATTTTCCTTTATAGCCGAGAACCTTCACAGATCCAGATCTGAGGCTAATTTGCCCGAAAACAAACATAGAAAGTGTTCTTTCAATACCATTTCAAGATGACACTGTACAGAATACCATATGCTGTATCAGCAGTGATGTTACCTCTTTAATCTGTAATGCTTTATTTTAAAATAATACTGATAAAAAGGTAAAACTGCCCTGAATAACTGAGTGTTCTTCTCCCCTCAGGATCTACAAGAGCTCTCCAAAACGTTCCCAGGTGTTCATATAGTGACTCTAGGTGAGTCGCTGTTGGGCTGTGAGATATTACACACAGATCTTCAGTCTGTTTTAGGGCAATATGTACATAAAACAATGTAATTTATATTACTCTTCATGTCTCAGTTTGATTTATTTAATGCGCAGTTAAAATGTAAAAAACAGTTCTGATGACCGTGTCAGAGATTCTACCCTAACAACACATTTAAAAACATGTCTGAAACATGTGAATGAAGTTTGCTGTGATGTCTGCAGACGTGGACAATGAGCAGAGTGTGAGCTCAGCGCTGCAGGAGGTCGCGTCCATCGTTGGAAATGAAGGACTCAACTGTCTGATCAATAACGCTGCGATCGGAAACACCACGGACTTAAACACCGTCACCCCGGAGGCCATGATGAAGAGCTTCCAGGTCAACACTGTTGCTCCTCTCTTTGTCACCAAGGTAGGCGTCTCTCTGCACAGGAGATACAAATGTCTCCAGTAGCTTCTTCATTCTCCAGCAGGTAAACAGACTGTAACGTCTGCAGAAGGTAAACAGACTGTAACGTCTGCAGGTAAACAGACTGTAACGTCTGCAGCAGGTAAACAGACTGTAACGTCTGCAGCAGGTAAACAGACTGTAACGTCTGCAGGTAAACAGACTGTAACGTCTGCAGCAGGTAAACAGACTGTAACGTCTGCAGCAGGTAAACAGACTGTAACGTCTGCAGCGGGTAAACAGACTGTAACGTCTGCAGCAGGTAAACAGACTGTAACGTCTGCAGGTAAACAGACTGTAACGTCTGCAGGGTAAACAGACTGTAACGTCTGCAGGTAAACAGACTGTAACGTCTGCAGGTAAACAGACTGTAACGTCTGCAGGGTAAACAGACTGTAACGTCTGCAGCAGGTAAACAGACTGTAACGTCTGCAGCAGGTAAACAGACTGTAACGTCTGCAGCAGGTAAACAGACTGTAACGTCTGCAGCAGGTAAACAGACTGTAACGTCTGCAGCAGGTAAACAGACTGTAACGTCTGCAGCGGGTAAACAGACTGTAACGTCTGCAGCAGGTAAACAGACTGTAACGTCTGCAGCAGGTAAACAGACTGTAACGTCTGCAGCAGGTAAACAGACTGTAACGTCTGCAGCTGATTGTTTGTGCTTGTCGTTGGTGTTTAGGCGTTCCTGCCTCTGCTGCAGACGGCTGCAGCTCGCTCCTCCGGGATGGGGATTCACAGAGCAGCCGTCATCAATGTCTCCTCCATCCTCGGCTCCATCACACACAACTGGGCTGAAGGTGCTAACTTCAAGAGCTACGCTTACCGCACCTCCAAGGTGAGAGGATTGAGAAAATAACGAAACTGTGTGTGTGTGTGTGTGTGTGTGTGTGTGTGTGTGTGTGTGTGTGTGTGTGTGTGTGTGTGTGTGTGTGTGTGTGTGTGTGTGTGTGTGTGTGTGTGTGTGTGTGTGTGTGTGTGTGTGTGTGTGTGTGTGTGTGTGTGTGTGTGTGGATGGAGTTCATGCTCTGTTTGTGTTTGTTATCCCGACAGGCTGCTCTGAACATGGTGACTAGGTGTCTGGCTGCTGATCTGGGCTCAGACGGCATCCTGTGTATGTCTCTGCACCCAGGCTGGGTCCGGACCGACATGGGGGGGCCTCTGGTAACTATTCCATTTCTTCCTGACATAAAGTTCTGTTCGTAATATTTTGATGTTCAAGGAGAACACCACCTGCAAACAGTCACTCTAACATGTTATTGCAGGGGTCTTTTAAAATTCACAGGTCGGCAAATACTGACTATTAAAGATGCAAACGTTCTGTTTATTTCTCTCACAGCTCTGAGTGAAGTTTACTAGTCGAAAAAGGCACAGAGGAAATCGTTTCACATGTTTAAATAATAATAATATAAAAATAATAATGCATTAGACTTATATAGTGAAAAAGAACAACAAACAAATAAGAAATTATGTCAGAGAAGGAGGATGAGAACAGAGTCTGTTAGGCGATTGTAGGCGATGTAGAAGAGGTGAGTTTTTAGGGATTTCTAGAAGGTGTCAACAATGCATCAACAAAGCCAACACCTCCTCACTGTCTAAATTGTACAAAAATATTGCGTTTCTATGACTTGTTTATTTGTGGTATCAAACAGGTGTCAGTATCTTTTGATTTTTTTAGTTTCATTTTAAAGTTTAAAAACCAAGTCCACACAGATCATGGATCATTTAGTCGTCCTGAGTGGAGGCTCATTTATTTAACTTTGACCTCACTGTTATGTTTGTCTCCAACATCAGGACATGTTGTCTCGTCTTATAGTTCTCATCTCACCTGGTCGTATTTCAGGTAGAAAATATCCTCTTCTCTGTAAACGTAATTAAAGCAGACATCACTTTGTTAAATCTGATACAGAGGTAACAAACAGAGAAGTCAGGGTGTCCTGATATGAACACTTTAATGTCTGTGCAAAATCAACCAGGACCTTTAAAACCGAATCACCATGAAACAGTGTGAAAAAGTAATTACTGTCATTAACCAGCTTTTCACACAGCCCTGAATGCATCGTCTAAAACTGTCATTTACCAGTGTGCGTGCGTGCGTGTGTTTCAGGCTGATCTGTCCGTACAGGAGAGTGTTTCTGCTCTGCTCTCCGTCCTCTCTGCTCTGTCAGAAAAAGATCACGGAGGATTTAAAGACTTCAGAGGAAACGTCCTACCGTGGTGACATCACACGCCATCTCTGACTGGCGCCTTCATCTTCTCACATTAACGGACAATCCGTATGAAGTGCTGTCTTTTTAAAGCTCCTTGGAACATTTGTGTTTGTACCTGAAAATCTCATCATGTAACTGTAAACAGAAACATATTAACTCGCTCTAATCGACAAGAATCTGTTTGTATCTGTTTGTATTGTCACATTTCTTTGAGGTGAGCCACAAGGATCTACTCCCGGACCCTTTTTTATTTTTATTATTTAAAGGACCCCTAGTGTTTAAAATGGGTACTGCAGTCTAAATTCTAAACATTATAGAGAGCTGCCCCCCCCCCTCCTCTGTAGAGTGGATGCTCACTCAGGTCACCATGTGGTGGACTCTGAAGCTTCAGTGTTTATCCAGCTCTGCAGACTATGAGTCTGGTTCTGATCCAGGTTTCTGTCTGTTCATCATGAGTCTGGTTCTGATCCAGGTTTCTGTCTGTTCTTCATGAGTCTGGTTCTGATCCAGGTTTCTACCTGTTCATCATGAGTCTGGTTCTGATCCAGGTTTCTGTCTGTTCTACATGAGTCTGGTTCTGATCCAGGTTTCTACCTGTTCATCATGAGTCTGGTTCTGATCCAGGTTTCTGTCTGTTCTACATGAGTCTGGTTCTGATCCAGGTTTCTACCTGTTCATCATGAGTCTGGTTCTGATCCAGGTCTCTGTTCTACATGAGTCTGGTTCTGATCCAGTGGATTGTGCTCATGGTGGATTCATGTTGGGAGTCCTGCAGTGTAGATGAAGAATGATTCATCTAAAGACAATAAAACCTCACTGACAACAGTCACTGTGTTTAAATGTCTTGGCAGTGATGGTCTTACACATGGTTAGAAGCTGAGAGAATCCGTGTGAGGAAATGTTTGAAAATAAAAACTCAGTGACTTTGATGATGAAGATAAAATCAGTCGAACGATGAACCACCCCTTGACAAAACGTCATATTGTAGTGAACAAACAAACATTTGAAGCCATGTTTAACGTGAACTAACAGCTGTTCTCCATTATTAAAATTAGAAGAATGAATTTGAAGGTGATACATATTGTGATTGTGACTGATGCAAAGAAATCCACTCGAGTTGTCCAGTGAGTCCAGTGCCATAGTTTAATTCAGTCCACTCTCTGAAATCAGACCATGATGATATATATGAAGATGATAATACAGTGATGGCTTTTCATTGGCTGGATCCTCCTTCAGTCAGGGGATCTCAAGATTTATTTACAGCAGCACAAAGATCGGACCGAAGTGATAGTGTGTTAAAGAATCGGATGTTTGGTGTGAAAGGAGACGCCCACTCAGCACAAACACAAACAGCGGGCGCAAAGACACAAACTTCAGGGATTGGCCAGTTCTTCTGATGTCACAGAGGACGGCAGGGTGTCCAAGGCTCCCATCTCTGTTAAAACACACACACACACACACACACACACACACACACACACACACACACACACACACAGAACATTACTAAACCAGCTCTCAAAAGAATTTTCATTGATTCAAATCTGACATAAATTCACCAAAACTCTGAGAACAGAACCAGAAAATGTCTCTTCAGGATTTCTTTAATAAAAAACTGGAATGGATTTAAAAATCAACAGAGGCAACACACCTCCTAAAAACTGCACAGAGACATAAATATGTTTAATACGTAACTCCTGTGGATGTCATCATGATAAACGTCAGATATGAGACACAACAGTCCAACAGGTAATGTCTTTTAGACCACTGGTTCTCAACTGGTGGGTCGGTACCCAAAGGTGGGTCGTGGAAGTGTTACCATTGGTTCGCGAGCATGTGCCTGGAAAAAAATTCTGGTGTCAAACCAGTCAAGTGCTTTTTTAAATGTGTTAGTTTTGTTCAGTTTCTTGCTCCCGTCAGATGTTTTGCATCGTCTGAGGTACAAATGGAAGCTGCAAACTGCAAACTGCACCATTTTGCATTAAATGAATCGGATTGGTTGAAAAATATCAGAAATTAGGGGCGCTATTTTTCAGGGAGGAGCTGGTGGTGGGTCCGGAGGCTAGAGGAGTTGAGAAGCATTTAGACAAACTGAAGAAAGGACATCAGTCTAAATATAAAGATCATTTTAATTGGGGTCACCATGTGGTGGACTCTGAAGCTTCAGTGTTTATCCAGCTCTGCATGGGTCTGTAAACCTTTCTGTGTTCTAACCTCTCTCCATTTTTCAAAAGCATCTCCAATATTGATCCTAGTTTGAGCACGTTTCTGCTCGTGGAGCTTATTAGAAACATGCAGAGGCTTTTTAGGTCGGGTACAATCACTTCTATCTGAACCACTTCTCTTGACCGCTTCCATCACTGCAACACCTGTTGACCTGATAACTGCTCTCATATCTGACAAACCGAGGGGCGTCCAAAACGGCCGTGTGGGGGCGTGTCTTAAAAGCGCCTACCTTCTCTGGTCCAAACAAATCCAGAGCATTCAGGAGCAGAATCTAAAGTTAGAAGGAGGACATACTGGCTGCTGCATTGTTGTCAGAGAAGCCAGCACTTCAACATAGCATGTTTCCTTAATGATCAGATAGTAAGATACCTTTATCATCTCACTCTCTACACAGCTCACTGATTGGATCTTTAAAGACGTGAAACAGTCTAAAGTTAGAGGTAAAAACATGTTGGAAAATGAAGGAGCACATGAACTTTGATTTAGTTCTGGGTCTGAGACTTGTGTGTCAGTGAAGAGGTTTATTAGTTGAAGTGATGTCAGAAGGCTTCACTTGTGTGTTAATTGTCCTGTAATTATAAAGCCTTTCAAACAAGCTGTTGACCTTCCTCCACTCTCCTCCTCGTGACCGACAGAACATTAAAGCCTCTTAAATAAGACTCATGCGTTTCACACTCAATCTTCCTCTGCTCATTGTCTTTGGATTTTTCCATCATTCAGATTTTAACATATCACTGTTCAGACATTTTGTAGAAGGCTTGTAGTTAATACACCTCAGTCATCAGTTACTAACAGAAGATCAACATACCTTTAAGTTTGAGGTAGGACAAGAAGTCAACGACAGTGTGGATGATATCTCCATCTGCTATTCTCATGGCTCCTGTGGAGGCAAACAGCAGCCTGTTAACGTCATCCAAAGTTTGCTACCCTGTAGGCAGCGATACGATGGCTGACAAGTGAGAACGCTGAAAGGAGTAACGTTCTGATATAACCGTGAAGCAGATACAAAATAGAAGCAAACAACAATTTCCAAAAGAAATGCAACGACTGAGACGAAGCTGCAAAAAGTTGAAACACAACGACATCAACTTCAAACGCGCTGCAAACATATATAAATATAAATATATATAAATAATATCTATGAAGAACACGTCTGCATCAAGACGAACGCTGCAAATCCAGCCCTCTCAACAGAAGAGCAGCACGCCTGTAGGGGGCGCTCTAAAGTGGAAGAGTTTGACGACAGAGAATATATTCAGCGACTATAAGATTTAAAGTGAGTCCGGCCTGGATGAGACGATGAGTGTTTGTCCTAATGAAGATGTTTTCTGAATTTGTGTTTTCTGACTTCATATCGTTTCTATATTTTCAGCACCTTCAATGTTAATGCAGTCATTTCGTCTTAGTTTGCAGTGCGTTCCAGGCGTTGCATTTCTTTGGGACGATTGTATCTGCTTTGTTTCTGAATCTGCAGCATGTGTTCTCTGCAACAGAAGGGCTTGATATGTGGAAATATCTCCAGACATCTCCATGTTTGCCTTCAAGGAGAAATACTAAGAAATCCTTTGAAAACGCTTCAACAAGACAGAGAAGAGAGTCAGAAAAGAGGTAAAAAACCAAACGTCAAGAAAACGAATCCTTCTAGAAATGTCTGGAGAAGTATCGTTAAAGGTCACATATTCTATAAAATCCACTTCTACACACTAATATGTGTCTATAGTCTACAAACCCCCCAATGATGAGAAAAGTCCATCCTCTCCGTCTTTTGCCTGCTCCACTCCTTCAGAAAATGTGTGCTCAAACAGGCCGTTTGGAGATTTTCCCTTCATGACATCACAAAGGGCAGTAGCCCCTCCCCCAGGTGGGTGACACTCCCATAGCTAGGTGTTTGTTCTGCCCTCTGAGTCTGCCTTCTCACCGTAAACAATAGGACATGGAGCGAGAAAGCACCGAGTACACCCAAGCCCTTCCAGAGAGGGGGCGTGGTCAGACACAGCTCATTTACATATTTAAAGGTACAGACACAGAAACAGCCTGTTCTGAGCAGGGCTGAAATAGAGGGGTTTATAGACATGATCAAATACAGGATCAGAGTGGATTTAGAACAAGAAACTTCACACACATGTTTTGAGGAGCTCTGAGACTTATTTACACTGAAGAAGAGGAGGAGGATATGTCACCTTTAAGCTAACTGAAACATGAAGGCTTCAGTAGTATCAGTTCAGATCATCATAGAGTTTGTCTTCAAACAGTGACAGAGTGTTTTTGTGAGTGTGACAGAGACAGACCTGTTCTGAAGTCCTCCTCCTGACCCATGTCCCTCTTTCCAGCCAGACCGGGTTTGTCTCCCAGAGTCCTGTGTCCGTCGATCCCATCTGAATGAGGAGTGATCACAACCCAGACGGTCACACAAACAGCACACACACATCAACTGAGCCTTTCATTGATCTGCGTTTAGCTCTGTCATCAATTCACTTCAAAATAAACATCATTACGTCGTTAAATCTGCTTCAAAGAATCGGCTCATGTCGGTTAACAGAAAGAATCGCTAAATTATATTTTTATGTCCTTGAACCTAAAATATCTCGACAAAAAATGTTGATTTACTGAGCTTGAACTTTTGCACACTTAGCATAATAACAACTGAAACACACACACACACTCACACACACATATATCCACCTACAGAACAATGTAGTACATTAAATGTCAGCATGGACTTTGGTTTGTAACGGTTTGGGTTAAATTTCCAAACGTGTTGGGACTGGCTGCAGGGCTTGGCTCGTGGAATTGCAGGAAAAACAAATAAAATGGAAAAGCGTACGATTAAAACGGGACCAACTGCAGCTTGATGACGCAAAACAAAATTAAAGAAATAATAAAAATGAAGAGATGAACACACGAGGATAGAGAAGCAAAGCGATGCTAAAGCCACGGTGACGGCTGCATGAATAGCTCACTGTGTCATCCTGTGAAGAAGATGAATGATTGCTATCTGACCCCCAGATGTTTGAGACCTCAGTGAGATCATTTCTTACTCCTCATGAATGTAACCTGAGACGTGCACAGGACGGTTTATCTCAGAGGAGCTGTGGCCTGCAGGAACTCGGAGCTGGAGTTTGTTTTAAACATTATATTGAACGATTCTATGTCTCTGCCCATCTATGTCTGCTGGGATTGTCACTTTTTATGTCTATTTTACACACAGACTGTAAAAATGAATGTTTGAAGCCTGAGTGACGTCACCCGTTTGTTCCTGCAGGGGGCGCTGGAGTCCCATCGATGGCGGTCTCCATGCTGGAAATGCTGTCTCAGGCTAACTTTCAGTCAACCTAAGGACAGGCTGAGAGCTGGAGCTGAGGCGGGTTTTAAACCTCCTGACAAACCGTTACACCGCGCCCACCTGTCAATCAGGTCAGCTACACGCCTTCATCAAATCAAAACTGATGAGTCATCAAAACATTCACCCCCCGTACAGTGTGTGTCCATCCAGACATGAGCTAATCACACCTATTTGGTTTTTTGAACCAGGCTGTAAACATGTTCATCTCTGCTGTAAAAACAGACTTTTTAGAATGGGTGTGTATGTGACTTCCTGTGCTTCTGCAGCCAGCCTCTAGTGGACACTCCAGGAACTGCAGGATGTTACACTTCAGCATCGGCTTCATGTTTCAACACAGGAGGTTGCTGCTTGATTTTAAAGTGTGAAAAGCCTGACCAGGGGGGCGCTGGTGGAGCAGGCCCCATGTGGGGAGGCTGTAGTCCTTCAAGCGGGCGGCCCGGGTTCAAGTCTCCAACCTGTGGCTCCTTTCCTGCTGTTTGGCGGCGTTAGCTGGCGTGTTGTGTTGGACTGTCGTCTCTGACTGTGCGGCGTGAATCACCCGCTCGCCTCTTTAAATATCTTAAGCGTTGACGGTTGTGAGTGCTCCTCATGTGTGGAGAGGCTCTTCATCATTACATTAAGTAGCTGCTGACCTTTGAACTCTGCCCGCCTGTTTTAAAACTAAAACACTTAGGAATCCAATTAAAATACGAGCACCTGAAGTGACGCCATGCAGGGAAAATAACGTGTTGAAATAGTTTGATCTTTTCAGTCTGAGATCCGACCTCGTGTCCACCTGGCGAGTTTTCAGGGTGAACAGCGCCGGCTGTGCGCTCGGGAGCGTTTGCAGAAAGCGCTGCGAGTCCGTCCTGTCTCCATGACAACAGTCTGTTGATAACGGCCGCTGTATGAGCGACACTGCTCCGTTACTTTTTACTGCATGTTTAATATTTGAGATTATTTTCCCGATGAGACACGGAGCGAGGAGGATGTGGGGACAAGACACGACCTGTAGGAGGTTAAACTACGGGGAATATTAAACATTTGGA